TATACCAAGCAAAGTTGAAACATGCCTATGATTTGTCTGAGGGACCTCGTGGCAAGCCAGAACAGAAAACAAAATTAATGCATACTGCTCTGTTCCAATTTCATCTGAAAATTTAAAATAAAAAGCAAATGCCATACCCCCTTCCCCAAAAGTAATTTTAGGATTGCTGTGAAAGAAAAAAAATAGAGCCAATGCTTCTGCTTCAAGATTTTTAGAAGTAAAACAGCTGGGGCCACCAACACCAGCGCTGTTTTTCTAGCAGTCTGAAATAACAATATGTAAAAATACTGTTTGTCCACAAAATTATTTCACACATCTCCTTTAAAAATCACCATGCTTTTTCAAAAAAGTATAAATTTAAATGTATTCTCTCCCACGCAAGAAAAGATGATTTTTCTACAAGAAGTGTCATATATGAGCTGATCTAATAGTTCAAGACAACTGAAACGTACCTTTAACATCACTGTTCCCATCATGCTGGAAACAGGGGCTGGAAGGACACAGTAGCCTTTTCATTCAAAGGACTGTTCCCACCAAGACTGATTACGGTATTTTCAGTAAGAAGATTTTTTTACTCAGAATTCTGTTTCGATAATTGGGTCAAAAAGTGTATCTGGAGCCCAACAACATTAATGTATCAATTAATGACCACACGCAACCATTTAGCATTCGTAAGCTCATCAGCCGGTCCCTCCGACCCACATCTCGAGCCTGGCTTGCACCGCACCAAAGCGGCCTCGACACAAAGCGGGGGACTAGCAGCTGGGGCACCGAAAGGGTTAAAATCCCATGTCAAACAGCAAGTCCTGGCTCCAGACCAGAAGGGACATGGGAACCAGGGCAGCTGAGTTATAAAGGCCTTATTGTAGCAGCCCACTGGATTGGAAATGACTTGTAGGCCTAATGAAACAAAACTTTGGCAGTAAAACAGAATGAAAGGAATGAGACAATAAAAGAGAGGAACAAAGGGAGCAGAGTTGTTTCAGCTTAGGAAAATAAGCTCACTTTGTTGTTGGGAAAAGCCAAAGCCGATTAGGATAAACCAATGACTAGGCATAAGTCTTCCAAACTAATTACACAGTTCGCCATGTGAAGTATAATTGCAAGTCGCAAAATAAGGACTACACTACTTTCACAGGAGCTCTATAAAGGGAGCATTACCTAGTAAAAAACGAACCCTAAGAAGTCCCTTATCATCAGCTGCTTGCAGCTTAAAAGGTGCAGAACATGCATGTCCAGAGAGAAGTGCAATTCATTAGCGTTCGGGGGCTTTCTTCTGCTGGTCACAGTCCTCCAGGTGAGGCTTTAAGAGGCTGTTGCTTTTTTTTCCTTTTTAAAATTATACCAGAAGCCTTAAACGCTCCAACATGTCCTGATCTCAGAGAGCACCATTTTGCTTACACTTTCAGAAACCAATAAAACAGGTAGATCCACAGCCACAGCCCTGCTGATGGCTCAGGGCACTTGTGGCCTCTCCAGAAGGGAGGAAAGCGCAGCCCCACCACGCTTCCCTTTGGATCTCCTCACTTCTAACACCTTCTCATTTAAATTCTTTTAAAACTTGGTCTTAACAGCCAGCTTTTCACACGTCAGTACAAGGGCAATGCTGCAGACCCTGGATGGGTTAACACAGCCAGTGAATTTATTTTGTTTGCAAGAATGTTTGAAACATCTTTGACTGAAATAACAGAGGATCACAGAAACAACTGCATTAGACTATCAGGATTAGGTAGTAAGACAATGGATTTTTTTTTTTTCCCTTCTGATTGTAAACAGTTATGGCTTAGTTTGGAGTTTTGTTTTCCCGGCTTAGCCTCCTCACGTCCTCCTGTGGATCCTGCTCCCTGAAACCACTGGAAGGAGAAGCCTCAACCCCAAACTCTCGCCCAGATATGCCTCCCGCCGGCTGCCAGCCTTGGGCCCGCGCCGCCCTTATCGGAGGCGCTGGGCTGTGCTCCCTGCCCATCTGCACCACGAGCCGTGCCGGGCTGCGTCCCACCAGGGCCTACGGGCCCTGCAGCCAGCCCCCTCCTCGGCACCCAGATCCCCGTCCTTGCCTCTCTGGGGAGCCCCACAACGACTGTATGTGCGCAGGTTCAGCATCACAAGCTCTAAGCATGCAGCAATCACGAGCCTGTTAATTACACTGCTTCGTGCTTGTTCTGTTAAGCCTTTTTGGCTTCACTCAGGTAATTTTTCCCAGTCTTCCTCCACAGCTTACAGCAGCTAGGGATGCCCGTCTTCACAAAATGAAAGCTGGGACTCCTACAGATCCTAGGCTTTACAGAAAGAAAAAATAGTCACTATCAGAAATTTCACGATCAAAGTCTCAGGGGTTATCATTACCACATATTTTGGTGCTCAAACGGGCAGGCATATTCACTGGTAAAGTCCGGGAACAGGGTTTATTAAAGCAGTTTTCTTTTTATTGGAGAAAAAGGTTCCGGCATTTACTTTTCAAAAAGCTGCAGTTTCGAATTCAACACTTTAGGCGCTTTCCTGCCAACTCCAGTTAAATGAGTGAGTCCGCCTAGCCCCAAAGCTGGTAGCTGTTCTAACCACATCGTGTATTTTGAGAGCTACCTCCAGTTACCAAAACAACCTCCCCTGGTTGCAAAGCTCTACTCTGCAGCAAGTACAAACAGGATTTCAAGAATCACAGCAGTAGGTAAGCCATTTTTTCCACACCAATAAATAAGCTCAGCACTTCAAAGAGCAAGTCACCTGAGATGCTCTTATCAAACATGGGCGGCTCCTCTACACGTTAATTATGTAACGCAATTTTCTTTATTTTAAGAAAGCGCTAAGCAAATGCAAACCTTGCCAATCGATCATGATGCATTGTTTGCACTGTAATGGCTTGACTGGAGAGTGAGGCTTGTGTGCTAAGCGGTGCATAGATGTATCACCAGTCCCTGCCACTAAGAGCTTGCAATCTGAGCAAGCAAGTCAAGGAAAGGTGGGGAAGTGGAATGGAGAAGGAAGCAGCTCCTACAAGGTGCCACAAGGCCAATCCTGGGTCGTTATATCTGAATGCAGCATCCCAACCACTGCAGCATATTAACAAGTCTTCTAGTTTAGCTGGACCACAAGTCCGCATTTCCTAGGGTCATTAACTAGCTCTGCATCTTCTCACAACCAGAGCCTTGGGGAGAATCATCTCAAAACACCCCAAAAACCAAACCGTCTCAGCTGATAAACAGGAAAGTGCAGTACAGAGAACTTGAATGCCTGTGCACAAGGTCGAGTCACAGTGACACAGCCAAGAAGCCTCTCCTCCAAAACGCCACCAACTTCACCAAACTCATCTCCTTTTCACAAGCTAGAATAGGGAAGCGTGAAACAGGGATGCAACTGGAAAAGGTCAGCTGGTAGCACAGTGGCCGAGCCCTGTGAGCCTGAGTCCTACAGGAGCTGAGCTCTAATGACTGGACCATGCAGCCTCAGCAGGACATACTGCAGCTCTACTGCCAGAGGAATGGGTTCCAGCCTCGACTGCAACTTGTGCAATTATTTTCAGTGCCTTAATTTTTTAGCCTTCAAATTAAGACACTTGAAAAAAATATTTGATTTTCCAAAAGTATTGCCTTTGGAAAGCCAGGCCTCTTTTAAGCTATCTCGAGAAAGGCAAAGCACGAAAGCAGGACTGAAGTGTCCCGAATCACTAGTCACTACTGGAAAACACAGCCTAGTTGTCTGCATTCTCGGGGACTGTAAAATTGCAAGCATGAAACTACCAGATGGCGAAATTTAAAAGACTATATTAAGACAGCATCCAGACAATATGCAAAGCACTTACATTGAAACTATTATTAACTTCAAAAATACAGGTTAGAGGAGTTCTGCAATTAGAAGTAACTACAGAAGAAAGATCCAAAAGCTCATGTAATCCTTTAATAAAAGGCTCAGCAGGCTGTAAACATCCTGCCGGAATCGAAGATTATTATTGAAAATAAAATGAAAGGTTTGCAAAACAACTATCAATCCAGCACAGGAACAATTTATAAACTCCCCTCCTCAGCCCTCAATAAATACTGCCTGGCCAAGGCTTTTCAGGGCAGATAAAAGAAACATAAACTAACTACAAGGAATGGGAACTGCTTTGCTTTGGGATATCCTGCTGTGTCCTTACGCAATCAGGCATCTAAATCATCAATTGATCCACTCCAAAAGACAGGAATTGAGCTGTATGGAGCCCCATGGACCATAGGGCTGACAGGAGTCTCCATGGAAGGTGGTACCATAAACTGCCTTCAAAGCAGATGGCTCTGCAAGCTCTTCACCTTGTCGGACTCCTGACCAAGCACCCAGAAGCCCTGGGGATCCAGGAAGCTCCAGGGAAGTCAGTGGCACTAAGCTCCAGACAGAGCCTGGTCTGTGGGGTTTGAGCTGTCCCATCACTGAAAAGACTATTCTGGCAAGGTTCAGGTTTCCTTCCTTGCGTAAACTTTTTTTTTTTTTTTTTTTTTTTTAAATCATGTCAGGATTCTACATTTCCAAAGCAACTTGCACAAGGATTTTTTAATAAGAAATTAAATGGATATTCTAGTGACTTCCATATTACTTTTGCTATTCACGTGGTTCCTTCAGGCATTTTCACAACTCAATGAGCTCTCTCAAATATGTCTATCTGCTCCTTTCGCCACTGGAATCAGGGGTAAACAGAAGGCTGATTTTATGGAGTAGACAACTGTGTAATCATTCAGCTAAGGGTCAAATTCTTCCTGAACATAAACAAATTCACCTCCCAATGATTCTTTTTTCTTTAAAGAAGGTAAACAGTGTTGGCAATGTTGTACACATACACATGCAACAAACAGAAAAGGAATTCCAGAAGCGATTCCAGAGGCTTCGAGAAATTACACTGAAAGGCAAAAAACGTGGCCCTCCTTTGAGCACAGGCCTCATTGCACTTCTGTTTTTCAAAACACACTTTAAAAAGAAAGGGGGAGAAAAAGAAGAATTCAAAATATGTAGTGCTCACTTGGGCAGGAACTTACCTTGCCAAACTGTTCAAAGTATTGCTTTACGTCTTCCACTACTGTATTAGCCGATAATCCACCTACAAATATTTTCTTTGTTCTTGTGACCATCTGTAAGAAATTACAAGACAAGCATACGGTTTAACCAGATTATTTCAAACAATATGTGGAAAAAAGAAATATTCTTCAGATGCCATCCCTAACCCAGTTAATGAGAATATTTCTTTACAAAAGCAATTCAGATTCTATTTGATTAGATACTTCTTTTTTTCTTTGTCTTGTTTTGGTTTTATTTGAGAAATGGCTGAGTAAAGGCACTCAATAACAACTCTAGCCCCCGGATATTTTTTTTTAATAAATGATTTTTATTGTGCTTCTCAATGCAAATATAAGTGAAAGAGGAGTCCAAGTGTCATATCCTCATAGCTACTGTCTCAAAAAGACGTGCCATTTCCCCCGCTTTTTCCCTAAAGACAGAGTGCATGCTCTTTGGCAGACAAAAGGTAATTATATCAAATCAAAGCGATGTGTTATTAAGTTTCCATGGGTCAGTTTAAAAGGAACCTGCACAGTCACTTTAAAAATAATCAAATGACGAAAGATAGCAAGAGCCACCAGTGCAGTCCTCTAGCTGCCACAAACCACGTTTCAGCTGAAATGCTCACAGTATCGCCATCCATCAGGGGCTGGATCAGGCCCTTCAGAAACCCCTTCGTGTTCCCAAGACCACAACTGAGCACCCAGCTCTTCTTCCTGACCCACGCACCCCCCGAGTTTGGTCCATACAAGGTGACGGGATGGTGCTGGATTCCCTACAGAGAGCGTACTATCAGATAACCCATTATCCACAACCCGTAACCCTTTAAGACAGGCAGGATCCAGCCCAGGGACCCAAACCCCAGCGGTGGCAGGGGAAGCTGGTGTCTTTGGTGGGCCGATCCCAAACCACTTGAGCCTTGTGGGCCACCTGAAATCAAGGCTGATCCAGGACAATGTTGTCAGCACACTCCAAAGGGGCAGGCATCATCCCGTATGCTTGGACATAGGGGAAACGCCCCAGCTCACAGCAGGCAATGCCCTTACCACTGGAGACAACAACTAATCAGCAGCCTACACCACCATATAGAGACATTTTAAAGTCAGCGTTGCATGTTAACTCAAGAAACCAACAAACATGTCAATAAGAAATTCATGCATTTAAATACGCTTGAGTTTGTTTTCTGTATGACAGAAATTGGGACGAAGCAGCCCACTTACAACAGCTGAAGGGAAAAAACGCCCCATAACTCCAGAACCAGGACTCGCTTGGTTAAACAACGGCCGGCAAATGCTGAAGCAATGCAAAGGGAACAACACTGGGCATTCGGCCGGAGACAACTGCTGCAGCTGCTCAGTGCAGAGCCTAGATTTTTCTCACTTTTTAATTTTTTTACTAAAGACAGGATACATTTTATGATAGCTACTGAAGGTCGCAAGGTGCAGCCCAGCACCTTTTCTCTGCGCCGAGGTGCTGGGGGCTGCCTGGAGGGTCACCACGCTCCTGCGGCAGTATGGCAACCCCATCACACCACAGGCTCCCACGTGGCTCTGCCCCCACGCCACGAGACCCCGTTCCGCACATCAGACCCACCGAGAGCAATGGTGCTCCCCAAACTGGCGCCGGCCCAGCTGGGGTTTGCCACGCGAGTGGAACTGCGGTGACAAGCTGTGCTGTGCGGCTGCAGGCAAAGCCTTCGCAAAACTGAGACACCGAACAAAAAGCTTGGAGTAGCCCCAGATTCTCTCAGCGCAGAACAAATTAAACATCACTCTCGTCTCCACTGCCATTCAAATTAACCAGGGTAGATATTTCCCTCAATCAGCCCCAACCATGCTTTACAGAGCGTCACTTTTTTTTTTTTTTTTAAGTTAGGAAGAAAGAAAACAAAAAAAA